ACAGACACACACACACACACACACGTATACACACTCACACAACCCAGGCTGTTCCCATTGGCAAAGAGAAGATTGAGAGGAGACTTGATCGCGGTGTTTAAGATCGATACAGGTCTGGAGAGAGTGAATCCAAAGAAAATGATGCCATTGTCAGAACTGTAGCGTGTATAGCTTTTGGTCTCCTTTCTTAAGGAAAGATCTCCTGAAAACAGATACATTTCAGAGAAGGTTCATTTGACTAATTCTTGGGATGAAAGGGTTGTCTAATGAGGAAAAGTTGAGCAGCTTTGATCTATCCCATTGGAGTTTAGCAGAAGAAGAGGTGATGTATTATACTCTCTGAGGGGGACTGGACAGGGCAAGTGCTGAGAAGAATCTAGAACCAAGGAGTAAAGAGGAGACAGAGGAGTAAACACCTCCTCTCCCAGTGGATTGTACCCTTTTGGAATTCTCTTCCACAGTCAGCATTGAAGGCTGGGTCATTGAATATATTCCCAGCCGAGTTAGACAGCATTGGAGTCAAGGTTCACAGGGAGAGGGAAGATAGTGGAGTTAGGACCTCAATTAGTTCAGCCCATGGTCCTACAGACCTGTGGAGTCTTCTCCTGCTCCTATTTCTCATGGCCCGACGAAGGGTCAAGATCCAGAGGGAAGTGAGGCAAGGTGATTTGTAGAAGAACCAAAGATAGCCTGATGGAAAATTGTTTGTGAATACACGGCTTGAAAGGACGGTGGAGGCAGATGTAACTGTGTCTTCCAAAAGGGACCGAAAGGAAGGAGAAAATTGGGTCGTGGAGAAAGAGCAGGGGAACGGAATGAGCCAACTTGGCCTTGCAGAGAGCCAGCACAGGCTCATTGGGCCAAATGGCCTGCTACAGTATCGGAGCATTTTATCCCCCACACTTCGATTTGATGAAAGAGCATGGCATCCTGCAGTGCGATAAGCTCCTTTAATAATCACCATCGAAATGAATGTTTCGTACCTTTACTGACAGGGTGTTGGCCACAATCCCATCCACAGTGGTCTCAGTGAAGGGGTCAAAGTGCTTGTCTGTCCGTCTCATGAACTCTGGTTTCAGGCGGAAGCCACTTTTCCCATTGTGTTCAAACATCCCCATGTTCAGTTGCATAGCCAGATCTGTGTACATTGTTCAACAGAAAAAGGACTTTTATTTCTCAACACATTCATGATTTAACAGCGTATCAGGTTTGTGCAAGCCAAATTCAACCCCAGGATGCTCACTATAAACAAGGGCGAGTTGGGGGATCTGTTCACATTTTATCATGACAAAGAAAAGTTAGTGAGGGCTGAAAACTGTTTCACGTTCTCTGATATTTCCAGTCTCTCCACGGTTCATGAGGGAGCTCATGCAATGTGCAGGAACCAGGTGGTTTCCTCATTAACCCGTTTGAGTATGATATCTTCGGAGCAGGTAGGACATAGAATCATAGAGGAATCATAGAATCCCTACTGTGCAGGTAGAAGCCATCCAGCCCATCAAGTCTGCATTGACCCTGCGAAGAACAGCCCCCCTTATCGCCATAATCCCACATTAACACGTTAGCCCACCCAACCTCCACATCCCGGGATACTGTGGACAATTTAGCATGGCCAATCCACCTAGCCTGCGCATCTTTGGACTGTGGGAGGAAACTGGAGCACCCGGAAGAAACCCACAAAGAAACGGGGAGAATGTGCAAACTCCACACAGACAGCCACCCGAGGATGGAATCAAACCCAGGTCCCTGGCGCTGTGACGCAGAAGTGCTAACCACTGAGCCACCATGACGCCGACCTGAACCTGAGGCTCCTGGCCCAGAAATAAGGACACTACCACAGCAGCACAAGGTCCTTGAAGGAACCAGGTGGTAAATATTTTTTACTCAGCATGTCAGAGATGTTATGGCACACTCTGGATCAGGCCAGACTTGAAGACAGGCCTCCTGGCTCGGAGGTAGGGACACTACCACTGAACACAAAGGTGCTAAAGGAATGGTGTGGTATCTAACACTGGCAACAATCTTGCACCTGTCAGGTTCAGATTTGCACGTCATCAGGCAACGTTTATCTCACTCGTGTAGGTGCATCGTACGTTCAGCTGCAATCAGGAGTGGAAATGTGCTGCCCTATCATTTTCTTTTCTGAAACCTTAGTGAGATGAATGTGGTGCACTTGGTAGGGTCCATACCTCTGGACCAGGAGCTCTGGGATCACGTTCTGGCCGCTGGGGAGGCCGAATTCATAATGTGCCCTAGCATTTTGGTTCTCGGCCTGGAAATTATTCAGATGCGTTGACGGTGAACAGGAGGAGCGGGCAGCTTTTCCTCTGAGCCAGCCTGTAGTGGCCGTTCAAAGTGGCTGGTCTCTTATTCTGAGGTTATGATCCTGAGTTCCTGGCTTTCCAACCAAAGAGATTATCCACTCAGCATCCACCCTGTCAACCCTTCTTTAAAAAAAAGCGGTAGATGTTTGTGATACTCACCCAACGTCTGGAAGTTCAGAGCTACCAGGTGACATCCGGCATTCCAAAATACCTGAGGCATGTAGTTTGAGGAATCCACTCGTGTTCCCTTTGGATAAATGCGGCTCAGCTGCCTCTTGTTGTACCTGGAGAGTGTTTGCTAAGGAAGGCTGCAGGGAAAATGAAGGCCTTGTTCCAAATGGAAGCGCGGACATTAAAACCAATGAAATGACCGTGAAATAACCAACAGGAGAACTGGTGGGCTTCCATCGAGTAGGAGCAGAAAGACAGGCAAAGATCATTCAGCCCTTCAGGTCTGAACTACTATTCAAACAATAACAAGGCTAATCTCTACCTTAATCTGCCTTGAAGTGATTTCCTTTCATACTGTTATTGAGGAAAAAATATCCATCAAGCAACTCCAGACTTAACTTTATTAAGTGTTTGGAGGGGTAGGGGCAAACACAGGCAGGTGGGACTGGTTTAGTTTGGGTTTATGGTTGGCATGGACTGGTTGGACCAAAGGGTCTGTTTCCATGCTGTGTGACTCTATGGCCAAGTGAGCTAGCAACCACAGCTTCTTGTGGGAGAGAGTTCCATAATTCTACGGATCTTTGCAAGAAGAGGTATTTTTGTCTTTTCTCTTAAATAGCCTAGCTTTGACATTGAAGTTATGTCTCTTACGTATCTTTATCCTAGATTTCTTGACAGTGGCAAATGTCTTTTTTTCTCTTTATATTGATAAATTCCTTTCAAAATCTTATCAATCTTCAATCAAATCAGCCCCCTCCCCAGCCTTTTACATTCCCAGAAATACCAGCCCAGACCTGGATAATAGTATAATGTAGGGTACGCAGGGTAGTTTGATCTTAGTAGGATAATAGGTCGGCACAACATCGTGGGCCGAAGGGCCTGTACTGTTCTATGTTCTGTGTAGTATGAGCAGTCACTCCTTTATGCCACGTAAACATGGGAACACAATGATCTGCAAATTCACCTCCAAGCCACTCACCGTCCTGACTTGGAAATGTATTGTCATTCCTTTAGTGCCACGGGGTCAAAATCTGGGAATTTCTCTCCCCAGCAGCACTGTGGGAGTCCTTAAAGACACATGGACTGAAGCAGTTCACGAAGGCCACTCACCAACCCTTTCTCAAGGTCAGTTAGGGTTTGGGAATAAATTATGCGCATGTCCTGTGAGTGAATTAAGAAAAAGTAGGCATTCTCTGCACATCACTCAGGCTATCACTGGCTACCAATTGAATGGAGTATTGTTCGGAAGCGTGGCTTTCCCCTCTGACGATCCTAGGACAAAAGGAATATTTTGCTGACAAAAAACACTCCGGGAGTATTTCGTCAACATTCGTTCATAGGATGCAGGTGTCACTGGTGAGAAATTTATTGCCCATCCCTAATTGCCCAGAAGACAGTTAAGGGTCAACCACATTGCTGTGGGTCTGGAGTCACATGTAGGCCAGACCAGGTAAGGATGGCAGTTTCCTTCCCTAAAGGGCATTAGTGAACCAGATGGGTTTTTACAACAATTGATTCATGGTCATCATTAGACTCTTAAGTCCAGATTTTTATTGGATTCAAATTCCATGGCATTGAAGCAGGGTCCCTAGAATATTCCCTGAGTCACTCGATTAATAGTCTAGCGATAATAGCATTAGGCCATCACCTCTCCTCCTGGGTCATTTAAATCCATAAAGCATGGGTACAAATTAATTTAAAAAGAGCATTCTGGCAAATCCCAGCTGCACTCCTTTCAAGGCCAATGTTTCAAAACAGCGTTAAACTCCCTTGTCGGGCAACTTATAAGACTCTAACACCAAGTTCTCCAATGCTGTACTGTTCCACAAAGAGTGGATCTTGGACTTTGCACATAATCTAGAAGACGACTCATTCCATGGATTACCACCTTGCTGCCATGCAGAGAGTCGAGTGTTCTGTTGATCCCGAGAGCGATGCTATCATGAGTTCCCAACTCCTGGCAGGGTCACCCATGACAGTAAGGTCAGACGAGAGGAAACTGCAGTCCAAAATAAGCCCTTAACAACGATCCCGGGGGGGGAAGTATTCACGTGATACCAATGACAGCTGATGTGCAACAGCATTTCCCTGTTAAGAGACATCGGAATAACGCATTTACCTGGACTTCCCGGGAACATGTGCCAAATGTGTGGTGGAGGATATGGCACTAGGATCAGGCTCATTAGCCACACAAGGATCCACAGAACCCATTACCAATAACATGGAATTTCTTAGGAGGACAATCATACTCATTAACAACTGATTGGCACTGCTGCTGGCATTGGGAGAAAAACTGCTGAGATGCCAAGGCTGGTATGGGGCGCAGTAGGAATGCTGCCCGGCCAAGCAAGATGGCTAACCTGAAAATATGATCCTTGTCAAAGTGGGTCATCCTCCATCGCATCATCAGTGAATTAACTGGGTGCCACAATTACAAGAGAGATGGCTAACATTGGACTTTCTCTCCCTCTCGCAGAAGTGTTAAAGCAAAAAAAAACCTCTTTGCTCAATTGCAGTTGGGTTCGGTTGGCAAGATGATGGACGGTTGATCCAGTATAATGCAGTATGGTGTCTCAGTGATTAGCACTGGTGCTGTTCGATTTCAAACTGCTTGCGTGGAGTTTGCGCTTTCTCAGTGCGTCTGCATGGGTTTCCTCCGGGTGCTCTGTTTCTCCGTCCACAGATGCCGCTGAATTTCTCCAGCACTTCTGGCTTCTCTGGTTTTGTTTTACAATGGGAGAGTTTAATCAATGACAACTTCAGCCTTCAGTAGTCAAGAAGGAACAACAACGCCTCTTCTTCCTCAGGAGACTAAGGAAATTCAGCACATCCATTAGGACCCTCACCAACTTTTACAGATGCACCATTGAAAGCATACTGTCCGGGTGCATCATGGCCTGGTATGGCAACTGATCTGACCAGGACTGTAAGAAACTAGACAGAGTTGTGTGCACAGCTCAGACCATCACGGAAGCCAACCTCCCATCCATGGATTCCACTTACACTTCTCATTGTCACAGAAAGGCTGCCAACATCAAAGACCCCTCCCATCCCGGTGATGCTCTCTTCCAACCTCATCCGTCAGGCAGAAGATATAGAGGCTCGAGCACACGCACCAAAAGGTTCAAGTACAGCTTCTTCCCTGCTGTTTTTAAGCTTTTGAATGGACCTCTCTAACTCTAATATTGATCTTGCTTTGTGCACCTTCTGTGCAGCCATAACCCTGTATTCCCTCGCTCTGTCTAAGCACCCCACGATATGTATGTCCTTGATTGCTATGATCTGCTCATACTGCTTGCAAAACAAAAATTTTCACTGTACTTAGGTACGCACGACGACAGTAAATCAAATCAAATCCTCTAAAGAGTACACGGTACAGAGCACTCGGAAGTCTATGCCTGTTGACGATGACCTCTGGTTGCAGAAGGATAACCTGGAAGCCTCAACAGCAGTCTGCTCAAGCTGAGACAACAAATTCATCAGCTCATATCCCAGATGTACCTGCTCCAACATCTTATGAATGCACGATAAATATCTGCTCTTCCTTTTGAAATGAATTTCCCTCTCAGTGTTGCCCAGCTCTGAAGATTGCTTCAACTTAATAATAGGAGCAACTTGGCTTCTGTAAACAACTCAAAAAAACTTCAAACCTAGTTATGGAGTCAGAGATGTCTGCAGCACAGGAAAAGGCCCTTGGGGTCTGTCCCAGTCAAAAACAAGGTGAAGTCACAAGTAGACAGGGTAGTGAAGAAGGCATTTGGTACGCTTGCTTTTATTGGTCAATGCATTGAGTATAGGAGTTGGGAGGTCATGTTGTGGTGGTACAGGACATTAGTTAGGCCATTTTTGGAGTGTTGTGTGGAGTTCTAGCCTCCCTGCTTTAGGAAAGATGTTGTCAAACTTGAAAGGGCTCAGAAAAGATTTACAAGGATATTGCTGAGGTTGGAGGGTTTGAACAAAAGGGAGAAACTGAATAGGCTGGGGCTATTTTCACTGGGGTGTTGGAGACTGAGGGGTGACCTTATAGAGATTTATAAAATCACGAGGGACATGGATAGAGTGAATAGACAAGGTCTTTTCTCCACAGTAGGGTAGTCCAAAACCAGAGGGCATAGATTTAAGGGGAGAGGGGAAAGATTTAAAATGGACCTAAGGGACAATGTTTTCACACAGAGGGTGGTGTGTGTATGGAATGAGCTGCCAGAGGAGGCGGTGGAGGCTGGTACAATTATAACATTTAAAAGGCATCTGGATGGGTATTTGAATAGGAAGAGTTTAGAGGGAATGGGCCAAATGCTGGCAAATGGGACTAGATTAATTTAGGATATCTGGTTGGCATGGACGAGTTGGGCCGAAGGGTCTGTTTCCGTGCTGTACACCTCTAAGTACCTAACTATTCTAGTCTGATTTTCCAGCACTTGGCATCGCAACTTCTCGTCTAAATATTTCTTAAATATGATGAGGGTTTCTACTTTTACCACCCTTACAGGCAGTAAGTTCTAGAGTCCCACCACCTTCTGGGTGATAATATTTATGCTCCTCTGAAATGTTAACTTTTGTTTCTATCTTCCAACAGGGGGTAGTCATCTGCCCTGCTGAATATTTCCAACACTTTCTCCTTAAATTAACTGTTATCTTTGATTTCGGTGAAAGCGAAGTATCTAACAATCAAGGTGGGCCTATAAACTATGCTCCTACAAGTGCGCAGGCCAGAATTAATTTCCAGAAGTTAAAACGGGAGTTGCCAGATGTAATTTACAAACTGATCAGCATTTCAAGTTGTGCAGGAAGATGCGTTCCGATTTAGGTTACTTTTCAACAGTTAAGCGACAAAAAAAATTATTCGTATCAGTCTTGCTTCTTGTCCATTGCTTGCATTTCTTAAGGGACAGCGCCACTGAGTGGTGATGGTCTGAATGAACAGCTCTGGGATTTTATCCGCAAAAACATTTTCTTCCTTGCTCAAAGTAAACAAAGTATGGGTACTGAATTGCAGTAGCAACACCCAGATACAGAGTGTGAAGATGTCATTCAAACGAGAAACCGTGTATTATCAATTGAAATACCCTTCATTCCCCAACTCATGATTAAAAGGAAAAACTTACACTTATATAGAGTCTGTCTCAACCACTGGTCCTCCTTACAGTTGATAAAGTACTTTTTGAGGTGTAAGCAGTAGACAATTTGCACACAAACAGCAAATAACAATGACAGGATAATCTAGTTCTTGTGATGTTGATTGGGTGATAGACATTAGCCAATCCCCTGCTCTTCATCGAAATAGGGGAGTCTTTTATGCTCAGTTGAGAGTGCAGAGCAGGCCTTAGTTTAAAGTCTCTCTGAAAGGCTACACGTCCGACAGTGCAGCACTCCCTCAGTACTGTGTAGGAGTCACAGTTTTGATTTTAGTGTGTCAGAGCCTGGAGTGGGGTGATGGTGCTACCAGTGGTAGCATCACTAGGTCAATCTTGCACAGGCCAGGCATGATGTCCCAGCACCGCACGGGTGGAATCTGAATTTGGTTAATGAAAAGTCTGGAGCTTAAAGCTAGTCTCAGTCAGGGTGACCCTGGTTTGGAAAAGAAAAACATCTCATTCACCAATATTTTTTTTGGGAAGGAAATCTGCCATCCTTACCTGGTCTGACCTAAATGATTCCAGAGTCACAGCAATAATGAAGACTCAACCCTCTGAAATAGTCAATTCTAAAGGTAAAGCAAGAGAAAGAAATCCTAACAAAAAGACTTGAAACAAACAAGAATCTATTCAATTCATAACATGTGGGGTTTTTTTAAAATATTGTCATTAATCTTTTTGTTTTAAATGGTTTACCATCTTGTTTGAGTCAAAATGTCACACGGTGCCTCCTGAGGCTCTGGCAAACCTCTCTCTATGAAATAAAATGGCACCGAATTACTTGGAACAAATGGTGGGAAAGGTACAGTCAGTATGTGCTGAAAGGATACTCCACAAACTCAACAGGAGATTTAGTCAGCTGCTCCAGAGCCTTGGTCTCCACAAAGGACGACATCTCGAAACTCTTGTTGTTCTCTACAAGCGAAAAGCAGAAATATCCGATAATTCACCCCACTTCCATCTATCACAGGTGGTTAGTGTTTTGGCTTTAAGAAAGCTGGCTGGCACAGACACTGAGATAATTCAAGCCTGATTTTTATTGTTCTTGGCGCAGGGAAGCTTTATGCTCTGGAGTAAGATCGAATCAAATGGAGGAATGCAAGATCGTCTTGTAAACTGGGGTGGGTGCTGAGTTGGGGGGGAACTGAAACACACAAGAACATTTCGCGGCCTTGAAACCCAAGGCATGTTATCCTGCCCACGGTCCTTTCCTGAGCTGGCAGTGAGGAACCCTGTTGACGTGACACCAATAAAACCTTTTGTGAGAGGGAAGGGAAATGCTGCCAACAATTTTATTATGTGACCAAGAGTTAGCAGAGTAATAGATTAAGGAAAAAAAACCCACTTGTATTAATTTCTAAATCAATGGGAAACATAGAAAATAGGTGCAGTAGGCCTTTCGACCCTTTCAAGCCTGCACTACCATTCAATATGATCATGGCTGATCATGCAATTTCAGTATCCCACTCCCACTTTCTCCCCATACCCCTTTATCCCTTTAGCCACAAGGGCCACGTCCAGCTCCGTTTCGATTACCCCAAACCCATTGATCCCTTTAGTTTCCTGCAGTACAGAATTCCACAAGCTCACAACTCTGAGTAAAGAAATTCTTCCCCATCTCAGTCTTGAATGGTTTACCCCTTATTCTTAGACTGTGACCCCTCAGTTCTGGACTTCCCCAACATCAGGAACATTCTTCCAGCATCTAGCCTGTCCACTCCCATCAGGGCTTTATATGTTTCGATGAAACTCCCCCCTCATTCTTCTAAATTCCAGTGAGTACAAGCCCACTCGATCCAATCTTTCTTCATACGTCAGGTGTGCCACCCTGGTAACAAATGTAAATGTCACAAAAATGTAAGAATAAAAAATACTTTGATGTGTTCCATCAATAATTACCCCATGAGTATTTCAACAAGACTTTAGTGTCTTTTATTATTGTGGGGTGCAAAAAGTCTGCTTTGGCTCTAACTAAACCAATCTTCATCCTTATAATGTCATCGTCACAACATACCTATTCATGTGCCATCTGCAAATTTAGTCACCACATCTTCACTCCCCTCATCTATGTCATTGTTATAAACTGCAAAATGTCAAGGCTCCAGCACGGATCCCTGAGTTAACACCCCCGCCCACCCTGCCACAATCTGCACAAGTGCCATTACTGTGATTTTCCCAGTCAGCAAATCTTCTGTCCAAGCTAGTCTGCTAGCCTTCACACCATGACCTCCTGCTTTGTGCAATAAGCTTTTATGTGGAACCTTCTCAAATCCAAGTTGCGTACTTCACTAGGGCTTCCCTTTATCCGCAAATATTCAAAGAATTCCAACAAATTGGTTAAACGTTTCTTTTTCACAAAATACGCTGATCCTTCCCAATTCCCTTGTGTGCTTCCAAGTGCCCAGCTTTAACCTCCTTCAGCTTCTTGAGTGTTGTTGGAGCTGCACCCACCCAGGCAAATGTCAAGATCCTGACTTGTGCCTTGTCGATGGTGGACAGATTTTGGGGCATTAGGAAGTGGGTTACCCACCACAGGATTCCTCGCTTCTGATCTGTTCTTGCAGCTGCAGCGTTTATATGGCTAGTCCAGTTCAGTTTCTGGTCAATGGTAACTCCCAGGATGTTGATTATGGAGGGTTTGGTGATGGCAATGCCATTAAATGTCAAGGGGCAATGGTTAGATTCTGTCGTGTTGGAGATGCTCATTGCTTGGCACTTTTCAACTTAAATCTGGATATTGACCAGGTCTTGCTGCGTTTGGACTTGGACTGCCTCAGTATCTGAGAAGTCATGAACTCACACCTGGATGATGAGTCCAGGCATTAAGATTACTAATCCAGGAACAGAGCAATTTTGCTTACTAATAAATCTGAATAAGCAGTTTCTCAAGGAATTCAGAGAAACCTTCTACAGTTGCCTCTCTCTGATTGCCTGCCCATGCACCAACATTGAGATAACCTGAATTTCAACTTGGGCCATATGCGGATTAGGAATTGAGAATCTTTTTATGATGAACTCTTTCACAGGAAGGCAAGGCCACCACCATTTCCCATCTTTAATTACTTGTGAGAAGATGAGCTACCTTCATGAACACAACTGAACGTCTTGCTTGGGCACTTCAGGGGGCAGTCAAAGGTCAGTCACTGCTATGGGGTCTGCAGTCACAAACATGGGGTCAGAATAGGTGCACGGTGGCTCAGTGGTTAGCACTGGTGCCTCACAGTGCCAGGGACCCTGGTTCGATTCCAGCTTCAGGTGACTGTCTGTGTGGAGTTTGCACATTCTCCCCACGTCTGTGTGGGTTTCCTCCGGGTGCTCCAGTTTCCTCCCGCAGTCCAAAGATGTGCAGGCTAGGTGGATTGGCCTTGCGAAATTGCCCCGTAGTGTCCAGGGATGTGCAGGCTGGTTAGGTTATGGATAGAGTGGGGATGGGGGTTTGTTCTTCAGAGGGTCAGTATGGGCTGAATGGCCTGCTTCCACTCTGTGTGTATTGTATGATTTGTGACTGCAGATTTCCTTCCTTGAAGAGCATCAGCAGTTGGGTTTTTAATGTCAATCTGCTGGTTATACAATCCCCTCTATGAGGCAAGCTTTTCATGAGAAATTGATTGAATTCCTGTGTGTCTCAAGCCTGTGCAGTATTGGTCTAGGATTGCTAGCTCAGTAACATAACCTCTGTGCAGTTATGCTCAAAAATCTCAAACAAAACCAAAATGTCGTTATTACTCTGATAATTCCCAAAAGGTGGCTCAGTGTGAACGGTAACAAACCTCAATCCTCTTTCTACTGTGAGTTACTAATATTGCTGGTGTGTGACTGTAGGAGAAGGCAATTTTATCTACAGCGTTAAGAAGTCAGCCGAGCCTGAGAATGTAAAACCCTTTATTTGCCTCATGAATCACATGCTCTAAAGTCAGAAAAGTGTGGCAATCCTATCTAATTCCCAATAAAGGATAACTCTATCCTTGGAAACTGTGGCTCATTGTCTCATACCAGTACTCTTAGGTCTGACATTACACAGACTCCAATTATCCGTGGTTAATCTTCACCCTGAAGCTAGTGAGACTCAAAGGCTTAGCATATTTGGCCCATGTGTTCCTGGTTCAGTAGAGATAGAGAAAGAAATGATTAAAAGCTAACTCACACACAAGGGATAGTCAATATAATGGGTACTGTTTATAGTCGGGCTATGTGATTGTAAACTTTGGAATCATATTATCATGTCGACTCTTTGAGGATTGTGCTTATTTACAAAGAACAGTCAAATCAAAGGGTAACTGCATATTACATATACATATGTCCCTTACCAAAACTAAAGTGAGATGCCCCTTCTGCAGAATACATCTCACGGCATAAACCCATTAATAAACTGGTCAACAACATGCTTCTCCATAAGGACACAGTTGGCAATCCAAATGTCCTCTCACCATGGATTAACACCGGTCAACTTCTCAAAATTAGTTATGGGCCAATGGCAAGTAAAAATAGCCACTCACTCTGATGATGCAGCCCAATGATAAAACAATGCTAGACTGAAGGCATTCTATATTCACATAGCCCGACTATAAACTTTAAATAGCCTAAAATTTCCTTTAATCTTCTGACTTTCTGGTTCCAGGCAGTCACACAATTAATCCTTCGCAATCCAGTAATGTCCAAATGTCCATTTTTCAGTTCTCATAATCCACAAATAAAGTGAAAAGATAGGATTGTTGGATATTCCTACATAAAGGCTGTTTTTAGAGGCAGTATACTGAGCCATTGTACACTTCCAACGACAAAATCGTTGGTCTGTTTCTGGTTAGTTTCTTGACTGGAATAACAAAGATCTCCTGATGCTGCCTGGAAGCATCTCCTATCAAAGAGGAGAGTGGATATCGTTGAAGGGCCTGGAGGAGATTACAACAAAAGGGAAAGGGAAAGGCCTTGGTTTCACAAACAAGGGTGTTCCTTGTGATAGTGCATTGAACATTCTGACAATTCTCTGGGTAAAGAAGTGTCTCCTCAATTCTTTAATTGGATTAATTTCAACTGCATGACAACATGGAACTCAGTGGCCTCAAGACAATGGAGACAGTTCGGGATACTCTGCAATATGTAACTTGCTGGATAAAAAGTCACTCACTCTTAGCCACCTCAAAGGACTCAAACTTCACCGGCTGTATGTAGGTAACCAGGTTGGACATTTCCTCTGTGGCATTCGCTTCACATCCAGCGGTCCCCTGTAAGTACAGGCCAACAAAACTTGTTTTAAACATGCTGTTGATACTGTGTTTCGAGCTTTGTAAGGTCGGTCCAGCAAGTGAACACAATAGGTGAGCTTTTAGCCTTAAAGCATGTCCATACAAATGGTGAAAACGTGTTAAAGAAAGACCTGCTTCAGCATAGAGATAGTAAGAACTGCTGACGCTGGCGTCTGAGATAAAACAGTGTGGAGCTGAAGGAAGATGAGAAGGTGTAGAGCTGGATGAACACAGCAGGCCAAGCAGCATCAGAGAATCAGGAAAGCTGACGTTTTGGGCCTAGACCCTTCTTCAGAAATGGGGGAGGGGAAGGGGGTTCTGAAATAAATAGGGAGAGAGGGGGAGGCAGATACAAGATGGATAAAGGAGAAGATAGATGGAGAGGAGACAGACAGATCAAAGAGGCGGGGGTGGAGCCAGTAAAGGTGAGTGTAGGTGGGGAGTTAGGGAGGGGATAGGTCAGTCCAGGGAGGATGGACAGGTCAAGGGGGCAGGATGAGGATAGTAGGTAGGAGATGGGGGTGGGGCTTGAGA